CCCAGACCCATCGATAATATTGTTTCGAAAACTAAAGGAGTTTGAGTGAATAACGTGAACTAACCTCTGAAACGTAAGCGATCGCATAAAGACAATGAGTTCGGAATCGAAGTACATCATAACGAAACTGAATAATGGAAATTACTTCAACTGGCGATATAAGATGAAAATGTTATTGATTGAAAAGGGCGTTTGGACAGCAATTACGACGGATCCGCCAAATCCGATTACAGACGACTGGACACAGAAGGACGAAAAGGCACACACTGCAATTGCATTAAATATAGAAGACGACCAGATTCAACACATTAGGCATTGAGAGACAGCGAAAAGTGCATGGAATAATTTGAAAGATTTCCATGAAAGAGACACTCAAAACAACAAAGTGAGCATTTTGCGACAGCTCATGACAACACGATTAGAAGAAGGCGGTAACGTCGAAGCGCACGTAACCAAAATGACGGAATTATTTCAACGTTTCATAGCCTATGGAGATGATTTAAAGCCGGAATTTATTTTGTGTGTCACAATTCTCAGTTCATTACCGGAAAGCTATGACGTATTGGTTACAACGTTGGAGAATCGCAAAGATGAATTAACATCGAGTGTTGTTTGCTCCGCTGTGATTGCGGAATATCGAAAACGTCTCGAACGAAGTCGCGATAATACTGAAGCTGTATTAAGAATTAGCTCGTCAGCTAAAAGCGGATCATCAAATGAAAAAGGACAAACAGTTGACATCAGTAAATCGAAATGTCTTTTCTGTAAATGTAAAGGGCATTGGAAAAAGGATTGTCGTAAGTTACTTACGCATAAAGAAAAGAAGAATCAAGATCAACAAGGTAAGACTCAGCAGCAGATAAATTCAGCTGAAGCTAGCACTGCCGTTCAACATTTATTCGCAGCAATGATGCTAAATAACGACGGTTGGTTAGTCGATAGTGGAGCAACTAATCACATGGTGAGTAAGCGTGAAATTTTCACCGACATGAAGAAGCATGTTGAAAGTATCTACGTAGCAAACGGTCATAAAGTAACTGCAATCGGCAAAGGAACAGTCAATGCGAAATTCATAAATAAATTAGGTAACATTACAGCAGTTTCGATTGCAAATGTTTTGTACGTGCCACAAATACAAGGAAATTTTATTTCTGTACGACGTTTGACCAAAATGGGATATACGGTGACTTTCGACAATGAAGAGTGCAATATCGTTCGTGCACATGATGGAATACAAGTTGCATTGGGCGAACCTTGTGGAAATCTGTACAAACTGAAAACACCAAATATTATATGTGCAGTAGGAAATTCAGATCCGGTAGCAATGAAGAATTGCGTTCATCAATGGCATAGCATATTCTCGGCCATAGAGACATCCGGGTAGTGAAGACATTGCCATCAAGCGATCTCGTCAACGGTGTTCATTTTGACGAATGCAGCAAGGATTGCAACAACATCTTAAACTGCGAAATATGTCTTCAAGGTAAGATGAGTAGGATGAAGTTTCCGAATTCAAATAATCGAGCGAAAGAAAAGCTGGATTTGATCCATTCGGATGTTTGCGTTCCGATGCAAACGGCGACACCATCTAGTAAAAGGTACGTTCTCACCTTTATAGATGACCACTCTAAGTTTACTGCCATTTACTTGATTAAAGAGAAACTGGAAGTTTTCGGTAAATTTAGAGAATTCGTGGAGATGTGCAAGACGATGTTCGATCGTAAACCAAAGATGATCCGCACAGATAGAGGAGGAGAATACATGAGTGTCGAATTCATCAAGTTCTTGGATCGTGAAGGCATTCGATATCAACGGACAACGCCATATAGCCCACAACAAAATGGCGTTGCCGAGCGTAAAAATCGGACGCTCATCGAGATGGCAAGGTGCATGATACTGGAAGCTAAGCTTGAGAACAAGTTTTGGGGCGAAGCGGTCGTAATGGCCAACTATATACAAAACCGTTTGCCAGCTAAAGATATTGTACGAACACCGTTTGAAAATTGGTATGGTACCAAACCTAATTTAGATTTTTTCAAACGATTTGGATCGAAGTGTTACGTACACGTACCTAACGAAAAGCGGAAGAAACTTGATCCAAAGGCAACTGAGGCAATCCTTGTTGGCTACGATGGAATCTCAAAAGCGTATAGGTGCTATGTCCCATCGAATGGAAAGGTAATCATAAGTCGAGATACTAAATTCGTCTACAAGAACAGCGATTGGAAGATTCAAGATGAGTTTAAGGAGGAGAGCGAAGTCACAATTACGCATCTACCCGAAGATGAATTCTACAGCGCTGATGAAGGAAATTGGATAGAAGAAGACGATCCTGCAATGGATGAAACATCAAGAAATAATCAGCAATCCATAGCTCAACGTGAAATAAATGATGCTCCCGTTAACGATGAGGGTAACATTCGTCGATCCACAAGATCGAATTTTGGCGTACCACCACTTCGTTACACTGAAGAAATCAACGTCATCAAGGAAGAATTAGTCGAGCCAAAGACGTACAATCAAGCAATCCATTCCGAATACAAAAATGAATGGATTCAGGCTATGAAGAACGAAATTAAGTCACTTCAAGAAAACGAGACGTGGGAACTCGTGGAGTTGCCGAAAGATCGACGTGCAATTGGTTGTAAATGGGTATATAAAGTAAAATCCCAAGGAGAGAATAAAGTATTCAAGGCAAGATTGGTTGCACAGGGCTTCTCCCAAAAATATGGAATTGAGTATGATGAAGTGTTTGCTCCAGTAGTAAAACAGGCAACATACAGGATATTACTTACTATTGCGGCCAGAAAGCAAATGAAAGTTATTCATCTCGATGCGAAGACAGCGTTTCTAAATGGAAAATTGGACGAAACGATTTATATGAAACAACCTCCCGGCTTCACTGAAGAAGGAAAAGAACATCAAGTTTGTCTCTTGAGGAGGAGTATATATGGCTTAAAGCAATCGGCCAGGGTGTGGAACAAGACAATTCATCAAGTTCTTACGGATGCAGGCTACATTCAAAGCAAGAATGATCCATGCCTATACATCTTAGAGAAATACGGTAAATTCTGCTACGTATTAATCTATGTCGACGATGTAGTAATGGCCAGCGAAGACGACAATATGCTAACGGAACGAGCAAGTCCTGAGTGCAGAATTCAAAATCAAGAACCTAGGAAATATCCAAAACTATCTCGGTTTGCAAATCAAACGCGATCTAAACGGAAACTTTGCACTTAACCAAAAACAGTATATCATGAAGATTACCAAGGATTTTGGTATGATGGAAGCGAAAACCTCGAATGTTCCAATCAACGTGTCATACGGCAAAGGAAATTCCGACTTATTAATGGATAATGAAAACTATCGTAAATTAGTTGGTTGTTTACTTTACATCGCTGTGAATACAAGACCAGACATCTCAGCAAGTGTAACAATATTGGCACAGAAGGTAACAAGACCAACACAAGAAGACTGGAATGAACTAAAACGTATCCTTCGATATCTCAAGGGTACAGCAGATCTGTCACTAATGCTTGGCGGCATCAACGGTAAAACTGGCCTTGTCGGTTATGCTGATGCAAATTGGGCAGAAGACATGGCATTACATCAACGCAAGTCAACCACCGGCTACGTTTTTAAGTATTTTGATGGTACAATCAGCTGGTGTAGCAAGAGGCAAACTTGTGTTGCTAAATCGTCTATGCTGAGTACATAGCATTATCTGAAGCAAGCAGTGAAGCACTATGGATTCGTCGTCTACTGAGGGACTTCAAACAGCCGGAAAAGGTCTCAACTACGATCTACGAGGATAATCAGAGCTGCTTGAAATTGATCAAAGAAGAGAAGTTGTCAAATCGTTCCAAGCACATTGATGTGCATACTTATTTCGTCAAGGACCACGTTGACAAGGGGACGGTTAAATGTATCTACTGTCCAACAGAAGACATGGTAGCTGATTTATTAACGAAACCGTTACCTGCTAGTTGAATCATAAAATTACGAGAGTATTGCGGTTTAATGAAAATTTGAATGAGGAGGAGTGTTAAACAAAGCTAATATATACATTCAGATTTGTACTTATCTCAAGTTTAATATAGTTATAATGGTTTCAGACAAAGTTACTAGGGTAAAGGTTGGCTATGTTTTAGTTCTAGTTATTATATATTCTAAGATTCCTACCTTACCGTTACTTACCTACTCACACCTTGCTATTCGCCTCTAGAAGAAAGACGTGTGTACTAGCGATCACAGTTATAATAAAGATTCTTTATTTCACCCAGACCCATCGAGTTTATCTTCGAGACATTATATCAATCCAGCACATTCTGACAAGAACTTGTTAGTCATTCTTCGAGCATGGCTATCAGTCTGCAGCACAAAATCCTGCTGCCTTGACAGATACTCCCAGACAGCACCTGATATCCCATG